AATTATTTAACAATCGCCTCCACTTTGACTTTAGTGAGACCCCTTTGATTTTCTCTGCGGGGTTTCGTCAAATTGCCTTTTTCGGAGGTCTGGTTTTTTTATATTTGGAGTCTCTTAGCCATTTAAAAATAAATGGTGCAGCTACGACTTTAGCGACTACACAATTTGACTATTTGTCCTCAACACAGAAGTGAGTGCTTGTAAGAAACGGCAGGGGAGTGAAAGACCATGAAGTTATTGATGTCAGATGTTTTTTTCATACAGGTCCTGCGACCTGTTCTTAGTTAAAAAGAAATCTTGGTTAGCATATGTCTGCTTTCAATCAATTCTTTTCAGGCATATACAGTTATATTGTTATGAAAACAACTAACTGCTGCGGGCAAGCGGAAAAATAATGCTGTGAGGGACAGGGGAGAGAATTAATTGCAGTGTATGTCTGCTTATACCAGAGAGACTTTCCAAGTGATTAACAGGGTTTCCTCAAGCCATCCAAAATCAGTTGGACATCGTTTCTTGGCAATGGTAAGGGGTGGTTGCAATTAATTTACGTAAATCAGCCCTGTGCAAACAAAAGAACTTGGCACAGAGCCCGCAATTCCCATGGCATGAAACCACTAATTCAGCCGCCCGAATATAACTACACTTCTTTGGTGCCGCCGCCCCCTCACATTGATCAGAAGACATTGATTGCAATTTTATTTTTCTCCCTCGCCCGCTAGCCCGCATTTTTGAATTTCGCCCATAGCAGTGTACACGTACAGGCCTGAAGAGAATGTATCGAAAGCAGAAATATGCTCGCGAAATTGTCTTTTGATCGTTTCAATGGGCGTTTTCGAAACCCTTAAACATTGTTCTTAGTTTATGGAATACTTCTACTTAGTTGAGCGTTTTGGCATACTCTTTTTTTCCAAAAAATCTCCGACGAACTAGCATCTTTTCGGATTCCAAAATCCCTTAGAGGTTGCTAGTTTGGGCCTCCTGTTATCACCTGCTAAGGTGTATGTGTGGTTGCATTAGAGTTGTTCGGGTTGTTACCAAAAACAGAAGAATTGTCTTAAGGCAGAAGTATGTTATGAGTAGCAGTTTATGGGTGACGCTATTAACATTTGCGATCCCTGAGGTCAGGCACATTTTTCTCGTTAATATTCGCTTTTATTAATAACAAATCATTCTTCTTCCAAGGAGGTAATCAATGTTCTGAGTGGGTTCTTTGCCGTTCACATTTTTTTGCAAAGTCTTTGGAAAACTTAAGGTATGTTAGTTGACCCAATTCGGTGGGATTTGAACCCGCATGGTAGGGAAGACCTTTACGCGAAGCCAATGCTCTACCAGTTGAGCTGCAAATGCCGCCTTCAAACCCCGTCGAATGCCGCGAGTTTTTTTCACAATTGGGTCGACTAAATTAAGCAGATCTGCAAAACCTGAATCATTTAAGGTATTTTAAGCGTGTGGCTCTCGCTTGGTTGCTTTGGCCTTTTTGGACTGACAACTCGTGTTACGGAGGACGGATGCAGAATGGGCGCATGATGTAAAACGAAAGGTCACATCGTCTGCAAAATGCGCGCGTGAAATAAGCCATCCGGTCACCGTGTGCCGCATCACGCAGGTAGCCTGATGCCTTTGATCACGTGCTGGTGGACTATTTACGTTTTTTTCACGAGGAAATTCGCGCGCAAGAAACAGCCAATCAACGATCAACACGTCAGATCACAGAAT